AAAAAGAAAAATGAACAAGATGGAAAATCCACCAGTAACTGACTATAGTCGCCTAGCCTCTTATGGAACATGTCAGGCCAAACCCCATCTTTAGGACTGACGTGGTTTTTTAGTATTATTATTTTTTATTTTGTTACTTACCAATAAAGCCAAGCCAGTGAAGGATGACTGCCAAAAAGAGCATAAATACGGCCAAAATCATGCCAGGCCGGCCCAGGAGCCAATTCTTTGTCTTTCTTGCTCCCTCTACACCTCGCTGAACCCTATCAGCCCACTTCATCTGGCACAATCAATATCATCCATAATCAGGCATACAAAGCAAAGTAGTTGTTAATGAATGAAGCATGAACGATTTTACTTCAATCTAAGTGCCTGCCTCATGTACGGACAAAGATTGATTAATTGTTTAGTTAAGAACAGAAAACAAGAGTGATCTTTCTAAGGTCATTTTTCTATAAACAATGTGCCGATGGGGTAACCATTTTTTGGGGGGTGGGGGTGGGTTTAATTAGATTAAACCCATTTCCAGGTGGAAGTACTATTTTCATATGGCATATACCATTGTGTCCAAAGTATCAGGTGACAATGATGACATGGCCTGTTGAGCTTTCTCAGCATCTTCACGAGAAAGCTTGAATCCAAATTGCTCGCCCATGTTGGCCATCATTTCCGGGTTCATATTTTTTATCATTGATGTGAACATCTGCCAATATCAGAAAAGCACAATAGAATCAGAAAATTAACTTAAAAGGGAAATAAAAAAAAAGTTAATATATATCTTCTAGAATGGTGGCTGAAATAGTGATTAAATTTTCATGTCCGCCGATTGTCTATTTTCTCAAGCAACATTTCTACTAAGCATGTGACAATTACTTATTAATTATAATGTCATATGAGACCCTATTTACATTCTACAGTATAAGGATGCTAAAACCGATCCAACCATATATGAAATTTCATAATATTAGGAACAAACAACCAATTATCGTGACTATTCATGTCATATATGATAAGCTTTGCAATATCCATAGCCAACAATAGATTATCAGGACAAGGTACAAACCTGTCGCATAGCAGGATCTTGCATTTGATTTCTCATTTGTTCTTGCAGATCAACATTGGAGGAATTTAAAAAGCTCGACTGTGGAGAAGCTGAATTCATACTCCGGGACGCACTACTTTCACCAACATTATCGTCATCATTGTTTGAATACGAAGTTGCGGTCGATGGTGCTCGTCTTTCCTGTCCTCTCAAGGATGATGCCATTTCAAACATCCTTTTACGATCTTCGGGTGACATCTTGCCCATCATCTCAGAAGCCATTTTAAGCATGTCGGGCGACAAGTTTGGTGGGACGGGGCCCTCATTAGTATGTAAACCTGCTGATAACGGCGATGATGATGCCACGTCATCCTTTTTCAAGGATGATGCCATTTTGAACATATTCTGAAGATCTTCTGGTGACATTTTGGCCATCATGTTGCTAGCAGTCTTGATCATGTCTGGGGATAAATCTGATGGTATTGGTCCTGGACTGAAATTCGGGGTGTTTTCAGTAAACGGATTTTCTCTTTTTAAGGAAGAAGCTAACTGGAACATCTTTTGGAGTTCTTCAGGTGACATCTTGCCGATTGCATCTGAGGCAGTCTTTAGCATTTCAGGTGAAATGCCTTCGACTTTTCCACCATTTATGGCAGCCAATGTTTCAGGATCAGTGCGAGAAATGAAGTTCTGGAAGGATCTATACATCAATGACAGATCAAAATAACATTTAACTTTCACTGTTATAGGCATTTCTGTTGAGCTGATAAAATTGACAAAAAATGTACAATATACTATAGCAGATAATTATGGAAAGAGGAAGCAACCAAGGAAAAGTAATGAACAAGGACAATCAAGGAACAAAATATAACACTATTCGTTAAACCACTTATTGACCTAGTTATCAACAAGCATTGTCCGTTCAACATATTAACCGCAAGATCGAGCATCTGACTATGCTGTAAGTGAAAATGAGTTATTTGTAGATAAGCAAATTATTTACCATTGCTATTAACTCGCAGTTTTTCTCATTTGTAAAGTGTCTTGAAAAAAAAAATCGGAAAGAAAATAAAAACAAATGCAAGAGATATAGCATTGGTGAATGAAATATATAATTTGCATCAACAACACAAAACCTGATAGAATCTGGATCATCTTTTAGTGTCTCCAAATGGTTAGTATTCGTAGACTGAGCCTCCTTAATGTTAGCAGTTTGAAAAGTTTTGGGTTGATTGGTTTCCTGAGACGGCAGTTCTGAAGTAGAATACTCGGGCTTATCAGATGATACAGTTGCTTCCTCAGTTATTTCTTCAATAACAAGCCCTAAAGAAAAGAAAAAAGTTAGTTAGAAAGCCATGAACATATCAATAGAAGTTCAATAGTGAAGTAGGCACAAGATTGCATGCCTCTTGAACGATGTGGACCACCTTCCTTGATAAATCTTTCCTCAGCATCCCTACACAAAAGTAGATAGAGTATATTGTTAAAATAAAGAAAACCAGAACCCAAACCCTGAATAAACAAGTATAACAGCATGTAACAGCCTATATGCATAGGGCTGCAAACGAGCCGAGCGGCTCACAAGCCGCTCGCGAGCGCTCGAGTCAAAGCTCGACTCGAGCTCGAGTTTGACCGAACTAGAGTCGAGCTCGAGCGGCTCGAGCACGAACTGGAGTCGAGCTCGAGCCCATATTTTGTCTTGTCGAGCAGCTCGTCGAGCGGCTCGAATATATGTTAAATTACTAAAATACCCTTTATATATATGTTATTTTAGGTCCTTATTGGTAATTACCTTTCTACTTAAAATTTTTCGAGCCAAACTCGAGTCGAGCTCGAGCATTTTGATTTCGAGTCGAGCTCGAGCCGAGCTCGAGCTATTGAAGTTTTTTATCGATTCGAGATCGAGCCTAAAAAATCGAGCTCAAGCAGCTAAAAAAAAAAAAGTCAATCCTGCTCGATAAGGACAATGCTCGACTCAGCTCGGCTCGTTTGCAGCCCTAGTCGAGCATATGCATGCTAGATAATATTAAAAAACAAGAGAACATCACATTCCAAAATCCAGTACCGGAAGACATCTGCAATGGTTTCATCTTCAGGAGAAACTTCATGTGCAATACGCAAGTCAGACACAGCATCCTGAGAAATTTTGATAACTATGTGAGAGAGAACTTCGAGTATCGATGGATTGCGTTACGAGCCAACAAAAATATTATGTGAAGAGTAAGAATTGAAAATAGATGAGATCACGCACTCCTAGTTGACCCAGTTCTTTGTATGCTTGACCCCTTCGGTAAAGGGCTTTAACGTTCTTCGGATCATATGCCAGAATCTGTGATATTACAAAGTTGTAATTCACATTTAGTACTCTTCCTTCGACATTATTGAGCGTGGATGCACATAACCATAGGAACATACTATACAAGAATGTAAAATCAAGAATATTAATAGTAACAAGCTTTTCAGACGAAGAAAAACAAAAGAATTCTTACCTCAGTGCCTTCTTGGATACAGTTTTCATACTGGTTGGTTTTCAAGTAACATGACATCATATTAAGAGAGCAAGCCAAAAGAAGATTCTTTCCTTTTGATGTAGGAATGTCTTTAAGATTATTCTTTGCCTAGCATCATCAAAAGAAGAAACTTTAGACCAACTAAACATGCAAGTGCCACAAAAAGGGCAAAAAATAACACATGAACGAAAAGATTAAATTCCAAAGGAACTTACACGCATGTATTTCTCCAAAGCATTTTTATACTTTCCCTGGCTGTGAAGTTCATTCCCCTGACATAAACAAAATCAAGCAAATAACGAGTTAATATCAATCTATATATATATAATTACTGACTAATGAGCATTTAATAAAACCTATTAAATTATACCTAGGTGGCAATATAATTTTTTCCCTCCAAAAACCGTTACTTTTTATTCATTTAA